GTAATAACATATTTTTCCGATTGTGTGCATGACAGCTTTGCCCACACACAATAAGACAAGATGATATGTACATATATGTGCGAGTATGTTTCATGGATTAATAGGCCACTCCTTTGCTTCAATTCCAACTACATCTCTGGAAATATCACTTCCTGTTTATTATCCATATTTTGATATCCCACAATGTGTCGATTGCTTATCTGGAAATTCTACTACTACTATTTCGCAAAATTTAAGTCAACTCCCATATTGTCCTTCACAGTGAAGGTTAATTCAGATATATTGTAAATTACACAGAGGTAACACTACAATACATTCTCCTTCACATTCCCATGTATTACATAACAATCTTTGAGCTGAGGCAGTTATGGCTCTACAACCATCACCAGTTCTCTTGTCTAAATTGTATTGTACTGTAATAACTCTGTATACAGGTGCAGTCTAGCGCCACCTACAGTTGGATATAATAAAAGTCCCCGGATGTTCAAGTTCTATTTCCGGTTAATGGCGCGAACTTATCGTTGATGTAGTTTATTTTCCCTGACTATAATATCTTTGATTATTTCCCCCCATCATGGCTAACCCCGCTCCTGTGACAGGTTATGGGCCCAGTATAGGTCTTCATGGAAGATATGGGCGATTGATGTTCGATGGGGATGAACGGAAATATGGGAACGGGAAAATGGGAAGTCTAATTTCTCAGTTACATGCGTTTACAGAAACTGAAAGAAACCATCTTGAAACCGAAAGGCGAGGAGGTGGACGAAGCCAAGAACGAGGATGCTTTTGCTGAGCTGATTCAATTTATTGATGACAAGAGTCTTTCCCTTGTGATGGGAGATGCTTCGGACGATGGCAGAAAATCACTACGAATTCTGAGAACTCACTATGCAGGCACAGGTAAACCGTGTGTCCTATAGCATTATACACTGAATTGACGTCGCTCATGAAGCAGTCAAGCGAGTCTGTAACTGATTACGTCATAAGAGCAGAGACCGCAGTGGCAGCATTAAAAAAGGTACTCACTAAAACGAAGGACCGCGAAGGACCGAAGGACCTAACCGAAAGACCGAAGGACTTAAATGGGTGTAATGACAATAAAACGCTGATACGAATTACGTTGTTATACGTTGCATTTGTTCACAAATTATGCAGTAGCGATAAAATTTACAAAAATAATAAAAAAGCAAAGGACCACAATTATATTATAAATATGAGCGAAAGACCTCGTTTTTATTGTAAATATGAGCGAATGACCATGATTACGTGATAAAAATGAGCGAATCACCACGATTAAACTATAAATATGAG